ATTACCAGTTTTTGAACTATCAAGTTTGGTTTTACTTTCAAGGAGGAAAAGCAACTAAAAAGCAGTAGTTTAAAAAGTGAGGCAACTTTTTAAGTAGCTCAGGTTTAAGCACCTGCTTAGGCAGGCTCAGAGACAAGGGTCTGATCCCTGGCACCATATGCGTGCTAGCCCAGCACTGGGGACACTGAAAATAGGAGGGTCACTACAAGTCCAAGCTGCATAGAGACACTACCAAATACATTAAAAAAAAAAAAAAGTGATGGAGACAGTCCTTTAAGGTGTTTCCCACTACAGTTAGCAGAGTAACTCAAGAGAGTCCTTTCCCCAAAGATGGGCAGTCCCATTCATGACACTTGTGTGTCTAGATGTGGGGCACAGCACTCTGAAAGTGCCAGATTGATGCCACTGCTTTGACTTTGGCTCTGAGATATCAAATCAGACCTTTGATTTTCAAAACCTGTTTCCCCAATAGGCAGTTCCATAAATCCAGTGTGATGGGCACACACTGTTTACAAAATTATATTGACCCAACCAGATAATTAGGTAGCATCAGATGTATTTCCATCTTCAGACTACCCTGACAAACTATAGGACATAGTTCCATAGTTAAGATGATACAGAACCACAGCAGCTTAAGTCAGTAAGTTCATTTTGTTTAAAAGAAAAACAGCTGAGGGTGGTGGTGTACACTTGTTACCCCAGCACTCTGGAAGGCTGAAGCAGGAGGATCAAAAATTCAAGGCCAGCTTGGGCAACTTAGTAACTTAATGAGACCTTGTGTTGAAATTTTTTAAAAGGGCTAAGGATGTAGCTCAGTATGAAGGCCCTGAATTCAATACTGCAAATTAATAAAGAAAAAGGAAAAATAAAAATTACAACAAAGAAAATGAAATTAGCAAAGCTTTTGTAGTAAGAAGCTGTATTACAGTTTCGAGAGTGAAACTTCTTGTGGACCCCTCAAAGCCTTTTGTGCCCTTCCTATTGTAAATAAAACCAAAAGCAAAGTTTACCTTTAATGGGGAATTTTTTTTCAAGATTCTTGAACAGATTTCATTCTATGACAATCTTTTTTTTTTTTTTAAATGTATTTGGTACAGGGTTTCACTATGTAGCTCAGATTCGTAGTGATCCCCCCATTTTCAGCCTCCCCAGTGCTGGGATTGCAGGCATACACTACCATAGTAGCAGGTGCCGCATGTGGTGCTGGGGATTGAACCCTGGTGCAGGCACTTAGTCTGCTGAGCTATCTCAGTGGCCTGACAATCTTGTTTCTTTAAAAAAAAAAAAAAAAAAATCAGTGTTTTTGGTGGAATATTTCATTTGTTTATTCAGCTACAGTGATTCAGCCCTGCCCAGGTAGATGGACAGTAATGTGCTCTGAGTGATGCTAAGTGTTTTTCACACACCTGTACCTGGGAAATGAGCCATCCATCTGTCCACTGGGGACCATTTTTCCACACACAAGTTCAGAGCAGACAGAAATCTAACTCCATAAGAAAATGTTAAAAAAAAAAAAAAAAGTATACCATGACACACTGAAGAATCATAGTTTACTATTTCTTTTCCATCGTTTGGCACATATCCAAGGCACATTAGAAAATTAGAAATCATAAGTTACTTTGTAGAAAAATAACCAATCCCTCCCTTCTATACATACATAAGTATTTCCAAAAACGTGCACAAAACCATTTCCTTATTACAAAGTTACTTGAAAATGTACTGAGGACAACCATGTTTGTAGCTTTAGGCCAATAGCATAAAAAAATAACAGTATAATCTATAGAAATTTATAAAAAGTAATACACGGCAATAAATTCTAACTTAAAGTAACATTGACCTGGTTTGTGCTGTAAATTTTGAATCTGAATCAAAAAACTTAAGATGTGCCAAATCTACTCTCTAGTAACCATCCATGAGGTGTGTGACCTTTTAAGAGGTGTTCTTAAATTTTATTTCATTTTTGTTGGTGGTGGAGGGGATTGAACCCAGGGCCTCACCCATACCAGGTAAGTGCTGTCGCTGAGCCCCACCCCCTGCTTGTAAGGGAGGTGGTTCCTAACAGAAAGGCATGTCCTGGGAGCACTGCTACAGGTACACATACATGCAGTGGCCAAACGTCTGTTGGAAGAAAACCACCCAGCATTCTCCATATGCGTGGTGTAGATGGCTCGGACGTGTTCACAAAGATGAATGTCAGGATGGCATTTAGGCATCTCTGTTCAAGTGTTGCTTTGCAAAGGAACATTTTCCAGGTTCCCTTTCTTCATTTTACTGTGACACTTTGGCTGGCCTGCACAGTACACTGAAACATCAGTTGCTTCTCCTTACTTACCCAGCCGAGGGGATCCTCTGGGCCCTTGGTTTGCTAATTTATCAAGGTTTAGCACCTTGCAGTAGAAGGTGGTCGTAATCTGATGATGCAGCCTTCCCCTGTAGCCTGGAAATCCCAATACTTAGAAACACTTCAGAGGAAGGAGCCGGACACCTGGCAGAATTTCGGTCCCTTCCTTGTCAAGTGTATTCATCAGCTTTGAGGAGAGAGAAGTTTTTGTTGCATTTATTAGTTTAGCCACAGAAAAGCTTTCAGGAACCTTCTGAAGACAAAGTCTCAAGCCAGTTATGTAAAAGTATACTTAGGTGTAAGCTGTATTTGTGCTGAGTGTCATCTTGTTGCGTGTTCACTTGTGGAAAATTTAGCAAACTGTTGAGGCTGAGCGATGCCAGCCTCCAGGACAGACTCTGGGTCCTTGGGCACAACTGCAACATCAACTGTGTGCCTGCGGACCATTCGCCGGTTGGCTGGAGCCGACCGTGTCAGTCTGGGCCCCTCCTTGGGCAGGTCATCGCTTCCTTCATCAGCCGTCTGCAGTCCGCTCTGCTCTGCTCTGGCAGGTGACTGCTTCTGTGTGATTCTTCGCCTCTCTGGCTGAAGAGAACATACAGTTCAGTTTATGTCTGCACTACTCTGAGGCCACATGACGTCAACAGCTGCCAACTCTGAGGTTGCCATGCCGGACCACATGCTCCGCACTCCCCAGGCACAACACCAGCTGTAGCGTCCCCGTGCTTTCTGTGTTTTCGTAACTCCAGCTCCTCACGGCTCTTCCCACCCCATTACTCCCTTCACTGTCACACTTAGCAACAATTAAAACTGCAGAGTTCTTTTTACTTTTTTGGCTGTGCTAAGGATGAAACCCAGGGCCTTATGTCAGGCAGGTAATCCACTCTAAGCTATGTCCCCAGCCTTGAAGGTGCTACTCTTTAGTAGGACAGTGTACAGTACAGATTTCATTGAGCTATTTAAAAATTATTTCCAAGTGGAGAAAGGAAAATGACAACAAAGTGGAAAGTCCTGGATAAACGATTTCTAAATATGGCACCAGTGTTTACCTAGACTGTTCTTTATGTGGCCATCTCCCCTCTGCACTATTTAATCAGTTATGAAAAGAAGCCTGACTCACAGTCTATGCTACTGTAAAGTCTCAGAGAAATGACTTAGTGTTGCGGAGAGAAGCTTATTGGAACCGATACGGTACCAAACATTTTAAACCAAACATATCTTCAAAGAAAGTGATTTGTGCCAAAGTGACTCATTTGAATATTTCAATGTCTGATGGCCTTGGTTGGAGATCTACTCCTTAGCAGGAAACCCTACTCATGAAGGCTACCAAGAAAAAATTGTTTACCATGGATTACATTTTTAAAAGGCAGGCTTTTAAAAATAATATGATAAGCCAGGCTTTACTAACTCACCTCATGCAAAGAACCTTCTGTAAAATTAGGGACACTTCTATCTCTTGCTATAATCTCACTTGAAGTCCTTCCCCTAAAACCCAGAATAAACAGAATATTAACCCCAAATAGTACTTGGGCTATTGGGTTGAAACACTGGTTGGTCACAAGGTGGCAGCACTAGGTGACATTTGTGCTGCAGATTAAAAGCTGCACATAACAGCTTCCAGTGAAATAAACTGCATGGTCAAAAGCACAGACTGCAACCTGGATTTTATACTCACTTAAGCTGGCCAACTGAGTGAACAAAGTAAAACTGTCTTGTAAAAGGCTCATCTGGCAGATCATGTATTTTTGAGTTCCCTGTAAATGAAAGGATAAAGATTAGAAATCTTCAAAATGGCTCAAAAACAAACTTCCTATTTTCTTTAGTTTAACAAAATACAGAAAATGAAGCATTGAATTTGCCTAAAGAAACATAGCAGATACCTATCACGTGAACCCCTGCAAGAGAAAATTGTAAATCCTTGATACACTGCCACTCAGCCTGGGAGGACTTTGCAGCCTCAGGGTGACCAGATTGTAGGTCATGCAAATCACTGCACTGCAAACACATAATGTGATTTGGAGACTGGGGATACAGCTCTGCAGTGCAGCGCCTACCTGGCAAGTGCACGGCCCTGAGTTCAATTCCCAGCACATACACATAGAAAATAGAATAAGGACCCTTTTGAACTTTCAGAAAAAATGCTTTAGTCCCTCAGCTATTTGGTTACTGCTGTTCTAAGTACCATCAACCTGCGTGCACCTGCTGGGTTGGGATGACAGCCCAGCACTAGAGCACTGGCCTAGCTGGAAAACAGAAGGCAAACAAAAAGATTCAAAGGTAGTGTCCACCTGGGTGTCCAGCGCATGTGCACAGCACCTGGCTTTGGCACATGAGGCACGAGAGTCTACCGGAGGTTACTCCTTGCCGTTTGGTAAGCGGAGGCCTAAACCTTCGGGCAAGCGGAGCGCATCTACCTTATGGCCTCAGGAAACACCACAACAATCAGCCAGGAAGCCCTTGGTCCTGTATCCCTCCCAATCCTAAGTGCAGTTCCATTTCACATGCACAGCTAACACCATTAGCTCCCCATGAGTGTCCAAATAAACCCAAGTGAAGAATTAAAGAAGGCAAGTCCTTACATTTCTTCCTGATCTGGACAGTCACACACTCCTTGTGGTCTGTTTCAACGTCACCATCCAGTGAGGCAACGCAACTTGGTACTACTTCAAGTAACTCCATTATTTTTGAATTCTACAGTGTAAGAGGGAAAAACACAACACAGTTTTTTAGTTTTTCTGAGCAGATGATTATTTTCTATTTAAGTATTAGTGTGGCTGGACCAAAAAAAAAAAAGCTCATGGGCCACACTGGCCCCACCCCTGGGCGCACTGAGGCAGCCACAGAGTCAGGGAGTGGTAGCAAGTGCCTATGATCCCAGTGCTGGGGAGGCTGAAGACAAGTATCACTACAAGTCCAAGCTGTGTAATGAGACCCTGTACCAAATACAAAAAAAAAAAAAAAAAAAAAAGCTCAGAAGCAACTACAAACATTTCAAGGCCATAAAACCCAGTGGTAAAAGCAACCCTGTATCTGCAGCCTGGTGATTGGTGCTCGGGGCTGCGGCTGGAACTGCTCCATGTAGCTGAGAGGTGATAACAGAACCACCACATAACAAGTACTCAATAAAACACAGTCATCATTTTAAAAAGTATTAAACTAAAATACTCCAGTTCTGTTAAAGATCACTGAAAATCAAAACTCAGGAGACCCATTGCTAAGTTAGATTTATGGGGACTTCATGATCACACCTGGATCACTTAATGGCCTTATGCACCGTCCATTCTCAGTAAACTAGATGAAGATTCACTGTGAAGACAAGAACACAAAGAGCTACCTTCTCCCAAGAGATGAGGGCGTCTCACCCTTGTACATGACAAACACCTACGGCACTGAGTGGGAAACAGCACTTCTTACAGAGCTCGAGGAGTTTGAAACCACAAATTCAACGAGCTTTTTGCACCAAGCTACAGCGACCAGTGAGAACCAGGGTGCTGTAACTCTTTACTCCCCTCAAGCACTGGCAGCACGATGAGGGTGCCTGCTGGAGCCAGGGGTGGGCGCGTCTGCAGCCAGCCCTCAGAAAGCTACCCCTGAAAGGATGGGTCCTGGCTCCCCGAACTGCTGGGCCCTGACTGGTGATATGAGCAGGTGTCCGGCACACCAGTTCCAAGTCTCAGGGCTGTGGCTACTGAGAATCTTACTCCAGCACTGTGAGCTACAGGGCAGCTTGGAACCTCAGATCTCGGGCTGTCCCCACTCACCTGTTCTGCACAGTCCACAGCTGTGCGCTGCCGCTTGTTGAGAACATGCACGGACGCTCCATGAAGCAGCAGCAGCTCTACCACGAACACGTGCTTTTCAATCACAGCCTCATGCAGGGCCGTGTTGCCCTTATTGTTAGCAGCATTGATGGAGGCCCCATGCTAGAAAGTGGGACAGCACAGTCACAAAGGATGGGACAAAATGCAAATGAAGCCTCTAGGTGGTGAGCATGTGGATATTTATGATAAAATTCTTTTCTACATCTCTGAAATTATTCTGAAAATCTAAGAAAAAGATTTATGGACAAAGACGTCCACTGCAACATTTATCATTGTAACAGAAAAAAACAGAAACCAGTTAAGTGTACAGATCAGTAACAGTTCAAAGTAAGTGGTACATGCCTGTAATCCCAGCTACTGGGGAGGCTGAGGCAGGATGGTCACAAGGTCAAGTGTAATCTAGACAACTGAGTTAAGACTCTTATCTCAGAAAGTTTTCCCTGGGTTCAATGCCCAGTATCAATAAAAACTTTATTTAACTACTGTGGTATATCCAGATTTACTTGACCATTAAAAATCAAGGCTTTAATAGTTTTCTATCTTAAATGAAAAATGGTTTATTGATCTATACCATGCACATTTTTAAAAGTCCATGATGAGTTGTTTTGAGCAGGATGTTTATAAATGAACCAGACTCTGCTCTGCCATGGACAGTGTAACATCCAGCAAGAGGAGAGACGCGTGGCGGAGACCCAAGGCCACTCGGCTTGCAGCGCAGGGAACACCTTGGCTCAGCAGTGCTCAGGCCCGGCCCAGGCCTTCAGAAAAATAGCTGAAGTCCTCAGTGCTGCAGCCCTGACACATAGCATGGCGCTGAGGCCCTCATGCACGCTCCAGGCAGGCGGGGACAGAGGGGAGGCGCCCTGACCTGTAAGAGCAGGGCTGCGATTTCGTGATGGCCCCCGGAGCAGGCATATATGAGGGGTGTGTTTCCACTTAGGTCCTTCTTATTGGGCTTCGTTTTAGAGTCCAGTAGACATCTCACCACCTAGGCCAGAGAAGAGAAAGTTCAACCTTAGTTAAACTGTACAAGAAAAACTTGAAATTCTAACTCTTCTCTAAGCTTACTGAGGCTTTTCAGACATGGCTGCCATGACAGCCATGGAGACGGGAGGGCCATCAGCTCTGAGGGAGCTGCTGGGCACTGGCGTTTCCACTTCATCTTTCTCTCTCCCCTAGGGGAGTTGGGATCACAACTCCACCCTGACAGAGCAGGGAGCTGCTGGGCATTCAGGGGAGAGGTGGACTCGGCCTGGAAGCTTACAGTGGAACTGAGAGGAAAATGGAAACAGATACACATAGGTAATTTCTCCCCAGACCACAGGATTAATCACTCCCAACTCCTCTCCTGAAGCCCTCCTCTGGGGCCAGGCCTTTATGAAGTACTGAACTGTTTAGCACAGGCATAGAGGTGGTAAGGTAACTCAGCACCCGAGCACAGGAGCTAGCTCAGGTGGACACCCTGGGTCCCCCAGATGCAAATGGCCATGGAGTGGGGCTGGCTCTACCCAAGAGGACCAGAGTTCTGTGCTCTGCTGCAGAGTGGCCCCACCACACGCATCGTGCATCTCAGGATGGGAGGAAGGAGCCGTGCTGCTCACTCTGAGCCCTGACCCTCTGCACAGTGCGCCCTGTGAGTTCAGCCACAGCGAGCTCCTTGCCCGCCACCTGAGAGACAGAGCCCATACCTGAAAGTGGCCCTTCTGGCAGGCCAGGTGGAGGGGCACAGCTTGGTTTGTGTTCCTGGCACTCGGGTTGGCACCATGCTTCAACAGGAGGGAAACGAGGTCTGCCCGACCATGCAGGGCAGCGACATGCAGTGGGGAAGAGCCATCCTGGTTGGTCACATTCACCCCGAGCCCACTGGCGGGAATCTTTGCCAGCTTCTAGTGCATTTGAAAGATGAAACAGAAATGTCATTAATGTCCAACAGATCAAGCTGAAAGAAGAGAGGCCGTTTGCTTTCGGTCCCTGCTCCTATGCAAAGTGTGGGATTCCAGTGGGAACCAGAATCACATGTCTCCAGGTGAATTCCTATTACTTCAGAAAGGGGTGACATACCAAGAGATTAACTTGCATTTCTGATAAGCAAGTGGGGGGGGGAATAGCTCAGTAAAATAAGCGCTTGCCTGGCAAGCGCAAGGGCCTGAGTTCAATCCCCGGTTCCACAAAAAAAAATCAAAAACGCAAGTCTAATAAGCAAGCCTGTTAAAAGGATGCCCTGTTATGCCAGGCGACTCAACAAGGAAAATCAGTGCTGGTGCTGGGGCAATTGGCTATCCATACAGGAAAATGTGGCACATCAGCCCTTTCTCGTTCCAATCACAGAAATCAAAGCCATCACAGACAGACAAGTAAAAGCTACAACTGTAAAGCTTGCTCATTTATTCAGACAGTATCACTATATAGTTTAGGCTGGTCTTAAACTCAGTATGTAGCCCAAGCTGGCCTCAAATGCAAAGTGATTCCCCCTACCGCAGCCTCCTGCATGCTAGGATAACTGGAATGTGACACCATGACCCGCTATAAACTATAAAGCTTCTTATCCAGGAATGGTGACATACATTTGTAATCTCAGCACTTTGGAGGCTGAGGCAAGAGGATCACCAGATGGAGGCCAGCCTGAACTACACAGCAAGTTCAAGTCCAATCTGGACTACATATTGAGAGCACATGTCAAAAATAAAAAGAAAAATAATCTTTACAGTCCTGGGGTAGATAAAAATTCCTTAGATTAAGAAGAGCAAGCTGCACAATAGGAAAGAATGTTTGCAGTACCTATCTCTCAGAGCACTTGGAACAACCAGAATTTAATTTTAAAAAAGCTTGAGGAGATAGCTCAGAGGCATAAGTACCTACCTAGCAAGCTCAGAGTCTGAGTTCAATCACAGACCCACATGCCCTTCCAGCCCAGAATCCCAGGTACCATGCTGGCCCCAGAAATGGGCATAGTTGTGCACCCCTGTAATCCCAGCACTTGGGAGGCTGAGACAGAAGGATTGCTATGAGTTCAAGATGGGCCTGATGGCTACAAAGTGAGCTCAAGACAAGCCCCAACTTCAGAGCGAGATCCTGTCTCAGAAAAAAAAGATACTCCATCGTAAAAAATAAACCGACAGATGGAGCTGCGCATCCTCAGTGTCCTGCTTAGCCTCAAATGAAAGCTGTAGGTGGAGGAAACCTGTAGTTGTTTTCTGCATTCTTAGAGCAAGCCCACAGCTGCCTCTCTCTGAAGCTGTCTTTATAAGGTATCGTCCTCTCAGAACACAAAGGACAGTGCTGCTTTGCTGTGTGGAGGCGAGCGCATTTTCTTAGAAGGGCTGTGTCCACCTCCATTTACCGACCGCGTAAGTACATGGGCTGCACATGCCACCTCTCGCAACTCCTCCAAAGGAAATCCTAAACAAAAGGCAGGGAGGACATGCTGCGAATCACAAAATGCTGAAATTCAAGGCCAAAGTACTTGGAGAGGTGGGCCATGGTCACCGATGACTCTGCATCACAGAGGTATTATTTTTCCCCATCAGTCTATATAGATTTACTGTAATTCCTATCAAAAGCCCAGAGATTTTTTTCTGCGAGCATACATGAGCTTATTATCAAATGTAGATAGAAAGGCCTGGGCCCTAGAAGAGTGAGGAGAATGGCTGAGGAGGACTCACCCTGCCCAGTACTGGGACCACTACAGAGGCTCAGTGACAGAGGCTGTGTGGCAGTGGGGGGGACACAGATTAATGGAACAGAGCAGAGAACCTGGAAACAGTACACAACTGGAGGGCAAAGGCCACTGTGGGAAAGGCAGGGGGAGGGAGTCACAGTAACTGGACATCCACAGGCAAATAAAAAGCTTCAACATAAATCTCACAGCTTGCCCAAAGTTAACTCAAGGCCAGGCATGGTGGTGCGAATCTGTATCTCCAGCACTCTCAGAACTGAGTAGCTGTGAGGACAGGCACAGGCCAATTCGTGATTCCCAGGGGTCAGGCCAAATGGGGCGGGAGTCATGGGGAGAGGGTTGTGGTTAAAAAAGGACACAAGTGATTCTTCTTGTGTTGAGATAACTGTTGTCGAATGTTATCATGGATATGCACACCTGAGAATGTCCACAAGTGTGACAAAAACTAGGGGATTAAACACACAAATGAGCACAAATAAAACAGAAAATCTCAATAATTGGGCAGAGGATTATATTCACATCATGGTGGTGATTTTTACCTGGATGAGCAGCAGATAACTTTCCTAAGGGGAGAGAGCAGAATTTGCCCCCACCCCCACCCCCAACAACAGAGGCAAAGCCAACCTTCTGAGCTGGAGCACATTTGGGACACTGGCACAGGGGGTGACAGAATTCAAGATCCACCGCACTGACAGTATCCTCCACTTCGTCCAGGTCCTCCTCTGTCCACTCCAACAGGTACCGCACCTGGTGTTGGAGTAAGGAGAAACAGGAGCTGAAGGCCGCCCTCAATATCTGTACTGGCTTGGGTGCCACACGCACACCCTGAGCTGCTCCCATGCTGGGGCCTGTGCTTCGCGGCTTCTAAATGGCTCCTGCTCCCCACCACAGATGCATCTGTGCCCAGGCCCTTATAAATTCCTTGAATAAAAATTAACTCAAAGCCAGGCACAGAGGTTGGTGCACATCTGTAGAGGAATGAGAGGGATTCACCCACAATGTCTGCAGCTGTTAGTTTCTCTTCTGTCTTACAGAGGGGTGTGCTGGTCCCGCCTCAGGGACAGGCTTTCAGACCTGTTGTGGCACCTGCTGAGTGTGTCCCTTGCGTTCCACACCCCAAGCCACTCCAGAGCCCTCCCTCTTTATCTGACAGAACACATGCACAGAGCACCCACCACCCCATCCCATAGCGCACAACCAGCTGGGTGGTGAGACTCCCTCAAAGGCACCTGGATGCCACACCAGTGTCCTGCCACTATTGAGCCTTAGACCCCCAAATTGGGCAAATTTATTTTCCAGAAAGACTGGTTTCTAGGATGGCAGATGGCAGAGAATAAGGCCTATGAATGCAGTTCTAGGTCCAGTTCGAAGTGCTGAAAGCCTGCACATTCCTGCAATGAGGGACAGTTTGTTTTGGAAGGACTCTTACCAGTCCCAGCCTTCAATGTTCAGGCCCCTTCCACACCCCTGATAATGAAACCTCCCCAAGCCACTAGGCAGGTACCTACAGGCCTCGGTGTCACAGGGCAGCTCCGCTTGGAGAGAGGGGAAAAAAGCAGGATAGGAGCCTGCTAGGCATGTGGCCTGGGCAGGCTGGACAGCAATCAAATATGAGGTCAGTCTGAGGATGGCACAGGGCCCCGGGACAGTGGCCCCTGTCCACCACCTGCCACCACACAGAGCAGGTGCGCCAGAACATGGGGCAGTCACAGCGCTTCTCCACCTGGGCTGCACCAGGCTCACACCCTGACACCCTCCTCAGTTTCCACAAAGGATGCTGGGTACTCCTGGGCTGGTCTCAGCCTCAGCCACACATTGACATCTGTGTGCCCCAGAGGCTCTCTGTGTCACTCTCATAGACTTGTGGGGTTCAGTGCAGATTCTACAAACCAGAGGCGGGAAGAATCGGATTCCCAGCAATTTCTGTCACCATCTCAGGCTACTCAGTGAAAAGCAGTCTTGAAACACCCATCACTGTGAAGCTCTCACAGAAGATGGTTTAATCAGAGCTTCTAAATGGGCAAGCACTTAATTTACTACTCCATTAAAGAAGACAGAGGCTGGCCGCAGTGGTGCATGCCTGAGACCCCAACACTTCTGAGGCTGAAGCAGCCTGGGCAACTTAGTGATACTCTATCTCAGAACATAAAATCAAAAAGGGCTGGGGATGCAGCTCAGTGTGAAAGCCCTGGGTTCCGTTCCCTTTCCAGAAGCCAAAGGAAAGCCGGAGAAACTGCCCTTAGGAATCTCCTGAAACCTATCTCGGCTGTCCCCCAATCTCATCAGATGTGACCTGTGCTGTGGCGGTGGCAGTAGCACAGATGCCTACCCGCAAGGCAGAGCCCAGAGCAGCCAAAACCCTGCTTGTGGCTCTCGGAGTGCCACACCTCAGACCTCAGCCCCAGCCCGAGAGCCAGGGCAGCCTCCGACTGCAGCCCTGTCAGGGCTCTGGGCCAGGCCTTGGCCTCTGCCACCTCCTCCTCTCCCCATGACCCACCAGGCACGGTCTGGTATTGCCGGCATCTCACCAGCCCTGGAGCAGGCATGCCTTCATTCTGGGCCTCCTTACTCATGTGGAAAATACAACGCTGCTGCTACCAGACCACACTGCACACACCACCTCGCCTGACAGAGACTGAGCCAAGAACCCGGGGCTGAGACTGGCAGTGGGAACTCAGGTGTAGCTGCCTCAGGCCGAGCACTAGCTTCTTAAAACTCACCATCTCCAGGTCTCCATCAGCAACTGCTCTTAACAATTTTTCTACCTTAATAAAAGGAAAAAGGAACATTAGGAAATGATTTTATAATAAGAAGCAGCCTTTGTCTCCTGGTGTGTTTAATGGCTTACTACCTTTCAAACATATCCCTAAACCTACTCCAAAAGAGCATCCTGGGAAAAACCCACTGTCATTTAAGGCACATAAAACCATAACTATTAACTACACATGGCAGCATGCACCAGAAGTCCCAGCACTCAGGAGGCTGAGGCAGGAGGATCTCAAGTTGAGGCCAGCCTGGACTTCATAGTGAGACTTGTCTGCAAAAAAGGAACCAAACAAAATCATCAAAGCTCTTAAGTTTTGATCTATAGAATGGTGAGATGATGGTGACCACGGTGTACACTGCTTTTTAAGAAGACAGGCGCCCTATGATTCAGAACTACATGTGAGCTGGGGAGATAGTTCAGTGGAATAAGTGCCTGCCTAGCAAGCACAGAGCCCTGAGTTCAATCCCCAGTACCACCAAAAAAAAAAAAAAAAAAGAACTACACGTACTTCGCTCTCAGCAACTACCAGCTGAGGGCGCAGAGGGCAGACACCCCAGCCCTTCCTGAAGACTCCAGGCCTCTGCTCCCTGCGGACCAGGGCTCTTGGCTTTCTTTGTGGTTGCTCTGCACAGCCTCAGCCTGCTGGCCACCGAGAATGGGCCACTGCTTGGGGCTTGAGGATGTGCGGCAGGGTCACTGCCTTCCCAGGCCCTCTAGGCAGTCGGGGTGGCCTGCATTGGGTTGTTAGCAGGGATGCTCCTGGGTGCGGGCTGGAGGACAGAGAGTGCGCTTTGCCAAAGGTCTAAGGTCACGGGCTGGCAGGCAGCTTTGCCTGCGTTTTCCTCACAATGTGCTCTCTCTGCCCCCGCCCTTTTCTCCTGTCCTCCCACACCCAGGTCGCCAAGCTGCTGAGGCAGGACCCGGGAGGGCCCAGAACTGAAAAGCAACATGAGGCGCAGCTGGGCTGTCAGCAAGCTGCTGATCTTGGCCGCAGCAGAAGCGGCTGCCCTGCTGGCTGGTAGCGGGCTGACGGGCACCTCATCAGCTTATGGATTTTGTTTCTGCACTACTAGGGATTGAGCCCAACACCTCTGCACTGGGATACAACCTCAGTGATCCCTGCCACTGTCTCTACCTCATGTGCTTTTTTTTTTTTTTTTTGGACAGGGTGTCCCTAAGTCATTAAGTGGCCCAAGCTGTCTCAACTATACAACTCTCCTGCCTCAGCCTCTCAGAGGGCCCTGATTACAGGGACGTACCACCATACCCAGCTCAGGCTATGGCACTTTAACTGGCCACCAGAACCCCAGAGCTACCAGCTCCTCCGTACCATTCTCCCACCAGACAGACTCACCTCTCTGTAGTCCTTCTTGGACTCTTCTTGTCTGGAGCTCGCCGACATGGAGGAGAAGCTGGAGGTGGAGGAGCCCTGGCTGATGGAATCCACAGAGTGTTGCGGGGACAGTGCAGGGGCCTGCAGGAAGTGAGCCCAGGCAAGAGAGGGGACATGAGCACACAGACACATCAGGACCACAGAGGGGTCTGGCGCTCTGACCTCCCCAGCCAGCGCCACCTGGATGACTCACCTCAGAAGGTTTCAGCCTCTTTTCAAAGGACAGATGATGGGCTTCAATTATAGACAGGATCTAAGAGGACACAGGGGGCATGAAAAGCAGTGAGTAAAGGGGACAGTAACAAAAGATGTCATCCACAGCCCCTCTGTCCCCTCGTCCCCACAGAACACCAGTACAGCAAGAACCTGAGGTCCTGCAGCCCAGCTAGGCCCTTGACAGATGGCAAACCAAGGCCCGGTGTAGTGGGAACACAGCATCCTGCCCCACAGTCAGAGCTTCCTGCCCTCGTACTGCATTCTCCTGTCCATCAGCGAGGTAGAGCTTTGTAGGCAGGGTCTCACAGCTCCCTGGTTCTGGCTCCAGCCTGCTATCTGGTATCAAGTGTGACACTCCTACTGGGACCCACTGGCCTCAAGCAGGGAAAGCCCAGAGTCAGATCAAGAAGGCACTCTGTTCTTTCCTCTGCAGCTCTCCCTGCAGAGAGGCCTCCGCACAACCTTGGTGGCAGAGGATGTTCCTGCTGCAGGGTCTCAACATCGGCCCAAGACAGCACGGCTCAGTCTGCTTGGCTGCTTTGACTTGGGACCTTATACATCTTCAGGGCAGCACAGCTGAGGCCCCTGGAGCCAGGATCAAGGGTTCAACCCTTCCAAACCAGTGTTCCTGCAGACCTAATGCTAAGGGGCCACACACAGAAACAGCAGTGATGAATAATGGGAGAGGGCCTGCTGGTGACGGCAATGTATCCGGCATAGACTGCGGGCATGACTTCACAGGGGCACACCGAGCTCCAGATGCATCAAGTTGTCCATCTGGAATATGCAGCTTTTTCTATGTCAACCTCTTTTAAAGTGATTTAAAAATAAATAAAGGGATGGGAAGATAGCTCGACGGTCCAGCACGTGCCTTGCAAGCTCAAGGACTTGCGTTGGACCCCTGGTACCACGTGGCATGCTGTGGGGCCCTGCACCAAGCCAGTCATCAAAACTGGGCAGGGTGGCACATGCCTGTAATCCCAGTGCTGGGGAGGCTGAGCTCTGTAGTGAGACCCTGTACCCAATAAATAAAGATTAAAAAAAAAAAAAATACTGTGCTATTCCCGGAAGAAGATGTGAATAAGATAAAGGAACTCCCTGAATTGGAAATAACCAGAGAGAGCCAGTAAAACATCAAAAGGCAGGAAGTTGGATCTGTGTGCGGGCAGACAAGTGGAACCCTGTTGTACAACAGTCACGTCCATGAGCCACAGATCCCCACAGAAAGCAGCGGCCCTGGCTTCCCCTGCTGCTCCTAGAGTGCCCCTCCCCCCAGGGCAGTGCTGGGGGAGGGACGTAAGGAACCGACCCCCTGAAGCTGTTCTCTTCCCCACCCACTCATGAGCAATGGACACTTTCATACAGGCTGCCAAGATCATGCTTCCAGAAGTCCCTACAAGAAAAAGGTATGCGAACTTATTACACATCACTGGGGGAAGAAACTACACTCACTGAGGTTCAACCCTGGCCAACTGAAAATAAAGCTTCTAGCCAGGTGTGGTGGCACATGCCTATAGTCCCAACACTCAGGAGGCTGAGGCAGGGGGATCGCTGTGAGTTCAAGACCAGCCTGGGCTACACAGTGAATTCAACGTTAGCTACTACTACACACAGCGGGACCCTGTCTCAAAAAACAAGAGAAGAAAATAAAGCTTCTAGAAGCTGCAGATGAAGAGATGGCAAACAGAGCTAGGACATGTAGTGCTCTTATTCCTGCATCCCTTGTCTCTGCTCCAATCACCTGGGTCCCATTGTCACCTCGTCCACTGCTGGCAAGAAGCCCACAGTATTCAGAGGCCAGGCCAGCTCAGCCAGGACCAGCTCTTAGAACACTGAGAAAAACTGCTAGTAAAGTTTAGAAATAATCTAAATAAGTAAATCCATTAACAATGTCCCAAATGTAGCAGAGGGGGTGCGGGCAAAGGCACACTCACCCAGCAAGGCCAATCTATGGACCCTGACTTTTTAGTCATACGCTGCCCAGAGATGAGAAGAGATACCTTTGGGTTTAACGCACACTTGAGAGCCGTCTCCTTCAGCCTGTTCTGGATCTCCGTGGGAGCCCCATTCTGTAGCAGTGTCTCGATGATGCCTTGGTAACCCCAGCGCGCAGCGATGTGAAGAGGCGTGTCTCCTTTCTCATTGCCAATATCTAGCCTGCAGGACTGCACGTCGTAGTAGACCAAAGCCTTCACGCACTGCAAGGAAATGGGAAGGTGGCGCTCTTTAGGAACACGCCAAGCCCCAGGCAGCAGGGCCCCAGTCCACGTGCTGCTTCCACCCAGATCCATGCACCGAGCTAAGTGCAGCAGCAGGACCTGCGTTATCCAAGCAGGACACCATGCTGTTTTTAAAATAAAAGTGCTCATCATTAAGAAACAGCTGACTGGCCAGCCAGATGGCTCAGTAGATCAAAGTGCCTGCTCAGGCAGAGCACAGTGGCTGGGGTTCCATCCCCGTGTGCTGTGCTGGCCCCAGGGCATGCTGAGATAGTGACTGAGGCTGGGCATGGCAGCATGCGCCTGGAATCCCAGCACTTGGGAGGCTGAAAACAGGAAAATCACTACGAGTCCCATCTACATAGTGAGACTCTGTACCAAATACATAAAAATTTTTTTAAAAAAGAGAAAGAGAAACAGCTAACTGAAATTGTGAGGTTTCTAAGCAGAAGCCAGGGTCACTGCAGCAGGCCTGAGACGGCTCTGCTTTAGAGGCCTGCTCATGAGATTTCCCTTGGCCTGCAGTGGCCCTCAGGCCCTGGATGTGGGGAGGGGTCCATGGTTCCTCAACTGACAACACGCATGCTTCGAGCGGCCTGAACGACTTTGTACTACTAGGCAGTTTATGCTGAACATGCTGCTTTCCCCGGAGTAGAGAATTCTGGGCCAAGGATGCTCAGAGGACCAGCTGTCAGTAAGTGTTGGGCACCAAGTCCCTAACAAGCTTTCCTGGGAGATGACGCGTGGTGTATGTTGTCACGGCTCACTGCTGCAGGAATAAAGCACATCGTGTGTGACTCCACAGAGAGAGGACCATTTAAAGCTCTGCTCTGGTTTCCTCTACACTTCACTCCTGTGCTTTTTCCTTTGGCGATTTTGCTATGTCCTTTCACTGGGATAAACACAGCTGTGACTGGCATGACTACAGCGTGAGTGTTCCTCGCAGTTGTTGAACCTGTGTGCAGGCTTAAAGACCCCTGACACGGCGCACTTGGATCGCTGTGTCAGCCAAGTGAGATCTATGCTGACTGACCCAGGGGTTTTGCTGACACAGTATTGAGGTGGGAAAGCATGTTACATAAAATGCGCAGGGTGTAATCTCATGTTTATACATTAACCCCAAACCCAGGTTCAAGTTTACACACACACTGATCTATTTTTGTACAGTTCCTGGGGGCGGGGGGAGAATAGACAGCAAAAAATAACTCAGGCATAGTAAAATAGTAGGCAGAAATGGAAATTACAAAATTCCTAGAGGTTACTTATGAAATGGAAAATTTGAATATGCACCAAGTTAAGAACCAGATGGTAGCAGAAATGAGTGAAAATGATTTAATTTTAGGGTAAGCTAATGGGCAATTAAGTTTTAGTTTCTGTTACTTCAATAAAGCATCTGTAATACATTAAATTTCTGAAATTAAAAATACTACACACTCGAGCTGGTGAGATGGCTCAGTGGTCTAAAGCACCTACTTAGAACAAGCTAAGCTAAGCAAAGCACAGGGACTGCGGTTCAATCCCCCAGCACCACATGCCAGCCAGCCCCGCCCCCTGGTGGGCTGAGCTGGCCACACACTAAATAAACAAATAAAATAAAAAAATTAAAAAAAAAAAAATACTACACACTCCATGTTCCAACAATTATCAACAAGAAGTTCCCATTTCTCCAGGAGTGATGGAGATGGAAGGCAGCCACTCCTGGGACGACAGGTATCACTTACGTCCTCGTGCCCGTAGGTGCAGGCCAGGTGCAGCGGGGTGTTGCCGTTGTTGTCCTGCACCTCGGCGCTGGCCTTGTAGTGCAGCAGCAGCAGCTGCAGAGGAGAGGAGACAACAGGTGAGCACAGCAGGGCCCTGGAAATGTGTCCTTGTGTCAGTCTCATGGGCGAAGAAGGTCATTTGTTCCCACCTTGAATCATATTTATACAGATTGAGCATTCCAGTCCAAAAATCCCAACTCCAAGACACTCCACAGTCTGATGGTGCTGGGGTGATGGAATCAGGGCCCTGTGCATGCTAGGCAGTGCTCCGCCACTAAGCTACAGCCCCATTTCCCAAAATCTGAAACTTTCTGAGTGCCAACACACCACTACAAGTGGAAAATTCCACACCTGATTGCATGTGGTGCACAAAAGGCAAAACACAGGTGCACTTAAAATACTGTGTAAGACTGCCTTCCAGTATGTGGATAAGGTATTGAAAAGACATAAATGAAGCCCCGTGTGCTGCTGGCACATGCCTGTAATCCCAAGGCTCTGGGAGTCTGAGGGAGGAGGTTCACAAGTTTGAAAAATAAAAATATAGAAGGGCTGGGGATACAGCTCAGCAGCATAGCACCTGCCTAGCAAACTCCACATCCTCAGCTCAATTCCTGGCACCCATAAAAAAAGGGCGGGAGGATGATACTATAGCTCAGGGTAAAGGCCCTGGATTTAATCCCCAGGGCTGCAAGCAATCAAATAAACATAAATGAGGGAGTGGCAGAGGAGGGGAAAGGTGGGTCAAAATGATTGAGCTATGTTACAAGATGTGCCAAATCCCCAAAACACATGTAAGTATCATATATTAACATGAATAAGCATATACCAACATGAATAATTTTTTTTTAAAAAGAAACATAAATGAATTCTGCATTTGTGTTTAGTTTCCACTCCCAAAATATCTCATTATGTATGTGCCAATATTCCAAAACCTAAAATAAACATAAACACAACACTCAAGCATTTAGACTAAGGGATACTCAATCTCTGCTACTATTAAGCCTATACCACTGCCTTAAGCCTGTGCAAAAGTTTAGAGATTAAAGAAAACACCTCCATCCCCGCCCTCTCTCTTCCCCTGGATGATCAGAAGTTTTATGTCTCAACCCGCGGCTTGGTTCAGTGGACCCAGGCAGGTGCCTCCAACTCCGTCCCCATGACTCTGCCTGCGTGGCCGGAGGAGACACATGGAGACGCTGCCCACAGCAGCAGAGCCACGGCACAGGCAAGCTCCCAAGGCCCCTGCTCACCGTGACGCTCTGGTAGCCCCTCTGACACGCCAGGTGGAGCGGAGTGGAGCCGTGATAGTCGGTAGCATTCACCACAGCACCCTTGGAAACCAGGAGGTCGATGAGGGAAGCCTGTCCTGCAGAGTGGAGAAGGAAGGAGAGAGAGGAGCTTCCCACATCTGAGATGAAGCCACACAGCACCTTACTCACCTCTTAGGGCTTGGCAACAGACACATCAAGACATCTGTTTGCTGCTGGCGAGGAGGCAGGGCAAATGTCAAGTTAGGCTCTGCTGACTCAGAAAACACGTAAGGGTGGGCGCCTCCCTCTCAGCAACTAAAGTCAGTGAAGAAGAGCCTCAGCCAGCCACAGAACATTCCATGGTTCATCAGTTTATAGGGTGGGATACTATGTAGCTACTAAAATATCAACAAGGAGAAATGCTCTGATACACTGACAAGTGAAAAAAAAGTAGCACAGTCCAGAGCAAAAGGAGCCTTGCAACATAAATGGATTTTGAAACTCATTTCAAAATTGACACATTTCTGCATCAATAGGATGCAGAAATTCCAGATGCTCGGAAATTAAAATTTGGGTTTTCTACCACAAGAGCGCACTATTAAAACAATTTTAAGCCAGGCATGATGGCATACACCTGTAATCCCTGAATTTAGGAGACTGAGGCAGGAAGATCACCATATATCTGAGACCAGTCTGAACTACACAGTGTATTCAAGGCTTTTCTGAACTGAATAGTGAGATCTAGTCTAAAAACAACAACAAAAAAGCAAAATTACCTGCATTTTTGAGGTGACAGGGAATGGGAGCTCATTATGTTTTGCATACATTGACTTTGAATTCATGATTCTCTGGCCTAGCCTCCTGAGAAGCTGAGATTATAGGCACACAGTACCAAGCTTGGCTCAAAATTATTTTTTAAGGGTAGACTGAGAAGAACCCCAAATCAATAATTCTGAGACCATTCTCATAGCTGGGATTCCAGCTGCTTCTCTCTGGCCTCCCAGGCCCAGGGCCATGTCAGGCAGTGTCTGCAGGGCAAGAACCACATGGACATGCTCTTCTAGCACAAAAAGCCACATGATGGCCACAGAGGTCACATGGCAGCTATCAAGATCTGTGGAACATTCACTATTCTTCCCTGGCCAGCCCTGGGAGTGCACCACGCAGCGCCCTGCACCACCTTATCAGCCAGGCTATGCTGGGCCACCTCACTTGGCATTATCCTTTTTACCACAGGCGCCAGACCAAGGCCACGTACCACAGAGAGCAGCCACATGCAGAGGCGTGTGCCCCCTGTCATCTCTAGAGAATGGAGTGACAATGGACGGATCATTCAACCTCCTAGGATGAAGAAGACACAGGAAAGCACATTAGTGGAATGGCCTGGTAAGGCCTCTCTTGGACCAGGCCATCATGTCAATATCCAGGAATCAGAAAACACATCACAGGATGCGTTCCAGGGACCATGGAGCTCCTGCTCAGAGTCCTGCAGGAGAGGAGCGAGGTCTAGAGCTCCTGTGTCCCTGCCTCTCTGGCCTGTTGGGCCTCAGCACCTGGCATAATATCCTGTTGAAACCAAAAATGTTAGCGGAAGAAACTCACATTGCCCCCTTTAAAGCTGGGGCAGAGGCAGCTCCTGCACTAGCCCAGCGGTGTGCAGACATCTCTCTATCCTCTGTCTCACCTGGCTCTCCCAAGGAGCAGCTGTCACAGATGACAGCAGAGGCAGAGGAGAGGCCCCTCTCACAAATGCATAGAAGACAGGTGGAAAGTCCCCCTGGAAGCCCCTTCTCCCGCAACACAGCTCTCTTACCCAGAGACCAGCTTCTCGCAGTCATCACAGAAGCACAGTGGGTGGCACATCTTTTGGACGGCGTCTTTGTCACAGTCTTGACTCAGAAGTCTTTCTACTTCCTTCTGGTTACCGGATGCAATGTGCTATAAAAGACAAGATCCCCAGCTCTATCAATGGTAGGAATCACTTGTTCCTGGAGGTGTGAATATTTCGCTCTCGAGGAGTTCCTTCAAGATGATCTAGGCGGATGGGACAGGGTAGGATGAGCATGAAGAAAGACCAGGTGATGGCTACACAGCAATTTGTTATACTACTCCCTTTATTTCTATAAATGTTAGAAAATTTCCATAATTTAAAAAAAAGTTAAAGTTCCCAAAGCAATAGAAGGGAGCATACACTATATCTCTAAACCTCATAGGAAAAACCTTAGCCCTCTTCTTCTTATGTTTGAATACTGCCTCAGCTTAAGGGAAAGAGAAGTGGTACAATGAGCAAGGGGTCACACTGATACCAACCAGGAGCATGGCCCTGTGACTGCTGGACGCACCCTCTGGCAGCATCAGCAGGCTGCCTAGAAGGTCCAGTCTCCCCAGCCCTCCACAGCTGCCTGCGGGCACTGGCACACTGAGCAGGGAGCTGCCTCCCTGTGCCCATGATCATACCATCAAAGAATCAGACGCTGCATCAGGCCCAGGGCACGCACGCACTGGCATAAGCGACAGCGGCTCCCTCAGCCCAGGACGTAGGAACTCTGCTGCAGCTAGCTGGGGAGGCACTGCTGAGCAGACCAGGACAAAGCAGGAAGACAAGACATCTCTGTCTATAAAGACATCCCAGTATCTTACCTTAAACAGGCAGTCGATGGGAGTTGAGGTCATCTGAGACAGTAAGCTCATCCTCTGTTTAAGGAACAGTCTGTCGCCAAAGCCCTCTGACTCCTGCTGGAAAAAACAAACTTCATCCCACCGACACTGCCTCGGGGAGGGCCCAGCAGTACTCCCTGCCATTTATCGCAGAACAGGATCAGGGCCACTTCTCCCACACCTGGATCTGCTCGAGGAGGCAAGGAGCAGGCTCAGCTGGAAATGGAGCCTGACTTTGGCTGCCTGCTTGGGACGGGGTGGCTCTGGCTATGCGGTGTGGACTGTGTCATCTCTGTGCGGAATGTCACACACATGCACCACCAAATGGAAGGTTGGACTGTTCTGGCCTCCCTCCCTCTTACCCATCCCCTGCCACACCAACCAGAGGTCCAGACAGGAAGCCATCACACAGGCTGGTGTCTACTACTCCCCAGTGCCAGCCAACAGAAGGGGGGTCCTGCTGGTGTGTGAATGTACTCAGCAAAAGAGATGCCACACCCAGGGGACCAGAGTCCAGGAAGATGCAGGGAAGGATTCCCGACACAGACAGATCCTCTCATCTCTAACCACTTTTCAGGTTTCAAAGACCTGCCCCATTTAATAAATCCAGATCTTCATACTGCAGGTAATGTCCACTTGGATATAAAAATCTAGAAATGTGTCCCTCCTTTATGAAACCATTTCTAGCAAGATAATGCAGTGTTCACTTGAGCACCTGCAACTAAATTGTCTCATGGTGAATTAAACTTTCTGGTGGGACCCAAAGGTAAATATTTTCTCCAGCCAGGTGCTAGAGGAATAACCCTACAAACCCTCATAAAACTGGGGGTGGCGTGGGGGTGAGGTGCTCTCTTTACAGTCCTCTAGATTCTGAGGTGGCCTAAGGTGGGGCCAACAGCACGTCAGGTATGACCGTTTCTGGGCTCCTGCATTAAGCAGGGTCCCTCCCGCCACCCCGCCCCCAGGAGGGTTACCCTGACAAAGACCAGCACCTCAGAGTGAGGCACTTCAGCCCCCAGCTGCTAGGTGCTATATAAAGCACACACAATCTGCTTTCCATGGTGACTTACAGCTGAGCAGCTTAGGGCTGGAGAAACATCAAAGGCATGCTGCTGAGGTCAATCCTGGGCTCCCTCCTCTACTCGGGGTGGCTGTCTGAAGGGCAGTGATAAAGTAGGTCTTCCAGGATTGAACCTTTAGGGGCAGTGAGCAGTCAGAAGGGTGTGAGCAGCACATCAGCAGAGACTTGTTTGGGAAACAGATAAATAGCGTCTACTAGGAACTCAGGACAGTGAGGAAGGTCGGAAGTAGGCAAGACTGGAGCAAGAGCTGAGGACAGTGGTGCAAACCTATAATCTCAGAACTTGGGAGGCTGAGGCAGGTGGATCATGAGGTTAAGGCCAGCCTGGGTGACACAGTGAGTTCAAGATTAGCCTGGACTACATTAGCCTGTCTCAAAAGAAAGGAGAAGGGAAACAGAGAGGGAAAGAAGGCAGGAAGGAGAGAAAGACAGAAGGGAAAAGGCAAGAAAAAGGGGAGGGGATGGAAGGAAGGGAGGAGGGGATAGGATGAAGGAAAAGGTGTGGAGAGGGGAGGGAAAAAGGAAAGAAAGGAAAAAGAAGAGAAAGGAAGAAAAGAGAGGGGAGGAGAACAAGAATTAACCTGAACAAGGAGTTACAAATTGTTTCAAGGTTTTTCCCTTGTTTTCCTGATGAACAAAGATAAAGCTGGAGCTATCTCAGTAATATTTTCTCTCAGAAAACTAAAGCCTTGGCCAGGGAGATGGCTCAGTAGAGTAAGCATCTACCTGGCAAGTGCAAGGGCCTGAGTTCAATCCCTGGTTCCGCAAAAAAAAAAAAAAAAAAAAAAAAACTAAAGCCTTCATTTGTGAACATGCTTAAAGAACATGTGCGGTCAGCCTAGCATGGTGGCACACACCAACAACCCCAGCACTCAGGGAGCTGAGGCAGGAAGATTATGAATTCAAGGCCAACCTGGCTACCTAGAAACATAGCAAGATCTTGTCTCAAAAAAATAAATAAATAAATAAAAGCTCATGGTCATCTTGAGTGTGGCTATATCTTTGGGAGAAAATTTAGGTGAAACTACTACACAAAGAGTTGAAAGTAAAACTTTATTTAACTGACTAATATTTAGCGCTTCCCATCTTTCAGAAACCTTGCCCCTGTGTGGACACACGTGAGCTCCCCCCAGGAGGCAGTGCCATGACACTGCACTGACCTCACATTTTCCCTACACAGAACTGCACCGCCTAAAGGAACCAGTCAGTGGCTAAGGCAGAGGCAGCTGGCACAGACAGAATCTCAGTGTCAGTGTCACAAAAGACAAGGAAGCCACATGACCTGGCCTATCAACAACAGGCCAAGCTCAGTACAGGTGGAGGCCATCTCTCAGGGCTGACTCACTCAATGCCCAGGGACAGACCCCAGGCAGGCCAGGAGGATGATGCACCATGGCCCCGACACCCACCAGAATCAAGATCTCGCATCCAGGAAGGCAGCACTGGGGCAGACACCCCAGACAAGGCAGGTGCTCTGGGCTGTGTCCCATCTTGCCCATCTAAGCCCAACCCCATGTTTGTGGATGACCGTACAGAATAAACAGGGGAACCTAGAAACAGAGACACCCCAGGTTCAGGGTGTCAGGAGAGCAAGCAAGGCACCAGAACACCTGGATGCTTCAAAAGTTGCCCTTTGCTAATGTGTTTGATTCTGACAACAATCTACCAATGGGTAAAAGAGGCAGCGCTGTCTACCCATGTTGATGGAAAAATGGACAGAGCCCTAAAGCAACAAACAGATTTGCCAAAGGTTAAAGAGAAGTGTGGGATTCAAACTACCACTAGCACAAGAGGGAACACATGCAACACTTTCTGGAATAAAGGCAGGAGAGGGAAGTTCCCTAGTTCTGATCTGCAGCCTCCTTCCAATCTGGCTGAGGCCTTCGAGGCCTTCAAGTGTTAACTCTCCTAAGTGCCTCAGAAAGACAGCGGCAGGATGGCCACATCAACGGGCAGCAAAAGGACACAAGAACTTTAAGTAATGGATGTCTTGCTCCAGAAGACAAAGGGTGCTCCCAGCCCCATCGCAGAGCACCAGGCCGATTCCCCTGCATGATGGAAGAGCAGGAGAAAGAGAAAAGACCCACAAGACAGGGTCGTCAGAGAAAACCACTCCAGACACATTGAGAATAGCACATGCTGCTAGGGCCTCACAGAACACGGTTCCAAGGAAGACCGTCTCACAACTACGGGAGTGGACAGCTATCCTCATTCTGCACACACAAGGCACGCGGAGACAGGCGTGCACACACGTGCATTCTACACTGTGACTTCCCCCCAGAGATGGAGACAAGAAAAGGCAGACAGGAACAACTTCAGAAGAGCCACAGTCAGCCACATCTGTGAAGGGAGGGGCAGCTGCTAATCTCACCAGCCTCTGAGGAGTGGGGGATCCTGTCACGCCCCAGAGAAGGGCAGAAACTAACACTCCACTGCTAACCAGAACACCATCAGATTACACGCAGACAAGTGAGCATGATCTCACATCGTGGTGCAAAATACAATTATAGCTACATAGGTATTTGCCAAAATGTTAATAAGCTACCTCTGGCCCCCACTGCAAATATTATCTATTAGCAAATATCAGTCTTCTGATCAGAAGAAAACAAGGTTCATCTTTTGGGGAGAAACAGTATATGATATAATTAGGTAGGTAACATGCATGACTAGGGAAAAGTCTGGAGAATATGCCCTCATGGTAATGAAGAAAGAATTCATTGGAACTGCTGTCACCTGAGGGTGCACATCTGGTCAGGCAGATGATGGGCTTTCTGGGGACTGTAACTCAATATTAATATCAGCGGAGAATTTGAGCCAAATCATATTCAGTTCTCACCATTCATTGTTTGTAATGCAGAAATCTCTTCACTTTACAGGCTTCAACTTTTGAGAGTTCTCTGAGGACTATTAATTTTCACTGGTTGGTATGCAGCAGACTACACCAGCATCATGGATTATATCTAGATGTCCCACAAGGGCCTCGTGGGCACAGGCAGGGCTTTCAGAAGGGGATCAGATTACCGGGGCTATAGCTCCTTGCTGGCAGGAGGTGGGGTCCGTCTGGAGAGGCAGCACTAATGTGCGCATCTCTTTCCCCAGCACCTCTCTTCTCCCTGTGCGTCCTAAGTGCCAAGTGAGCAGCTCTCCTCGGCCCAGGTTCTTCCACTGTGCCCTCCTGCCTCAAAGCCAGCCAACTATAGGCTAAAACCGTGAGCTCAAAATAAACCTCTTCTCTTCCACTAACTGCAAGCATCAGGTACCAAATTTGTCCCAGTGATGGGGACAGTGACTAAGAGAGCCAGCAATGCAAACATGGCTCAAGATTCCCATAGTTCACACAGAAACAGAATTAGCTCCTTCAGCCGAAGTTCACCGATCTACCAAGCAGACAATAAGAAGGCCTCTGAGTCGTAAAGCGCACACATGGAATCAGAAAATCCACATTCACCATCTCTGGCTTCCTTGTTCACGCACGTGCTTTTGAAGATGAACAGGGGTTAATGATATTCACTGTGTGAAGCCCACCGATAGCCCAGCAACTTTCACAAGCAAGAAGGGGCTTCATGTTCAGGTTTCCTGGGTGGTCATCAAGGATCACAGCCCTCAAGCAGCTGAGGCCCCATTCTTTGGACACTGTCAGAAAACACACACACACAACCCAAAGGCTGTCAGAGCTGCCACGACGCCTACAAAGGGGAGGGGAAGTGTGTGCTCTTACAGGTGGCTTAATGGAAAGGCTTCCCTGCCGAATATATTCAATCGCAGCCTCAATTGAAGTCAGGCAGAACCCCAGTTCATCCTTCGCTGAGCTGCTAAATCTGAAGTTTTTGATGTAACTCAAATTCGCCATCCTGCCACAAAGAAGGAAAGAGTTTAATCATGGAACAGTTAGTTAATATTTCCACAAAAAGTACTGCTCCTGCTTTGAATAATCAAATACCTACAGTAAGTCAAGTAAGGGAGCAACCACCATAGTTCCCACTGTGAGCTCGCAGCACAGTGTATGTAATTAGTTTTTTTTTTTTAAATGTATTTAGTACAGGGTCTACAGGGTCTCACTACGTAGATTGGACTCATAGTGATCTGCCTGTGTTTAGCCTCCCAAGCGCTGGGATTACAGGCACGCGCCACCACACCCAGTCTCAATCGCCATCTCACTGCCCCTCGGGGGTGGGGCCAGCGCAGCATGCCAGGGATCGAACCCTGGCCACTGCGGTCTAAGCAGGTGCTTTAGTCTGCTGAGCTATCTGGCCAGCCCCCAGTGTGTGTAATTAGGATAAGGAAAACCACCTGTTGTTTCCCTGAAACGGGCTGGCTTTTAGAAAGCTGACTACTGTAAAGTGAACTGTGGGTTCCTATGGCAAGAAAGATCTGGGGTCAGCTTCCTGTTCAGCCACAGCGTCACTGCACAATCCAGGACAGAAAACATAAAGCTCCCAGGGCCTCAGTTTCCCCATCTCTAAGTGGGAGGAAAGGGGAGAGGGCAAGCAACCTGTTTATAAGATGCACATTTAGGAGCCAGGCATGGTGGTGCACACGAGTAATCCCAGCACTCGGAGGCTAAGGCAGGAAGATAGCCATGACTTCAAGATCAGCGAGGGCTACATAGCGAGTTCAAGGCCAGTCTAACTACACAGCGAGACTGTTTCTTAGGAAAAAAAAAAAAAAAAAGATGCACAACCAGAAGTGGCTATCCCTGAGTTACACTGACACTATACAGTGCATGGTGCTGCTGCTTTTAAATAGCATTTTAACAACAACAACAAAAATGTTACCAGTTAGGGATCTCCGTTTTCACCAGCAAATATAACAGGACTGAGAGAAGATCATCAGTACACATGGTCTCCAAGTTCACTGCAAGGGGAGAACACACATTCAAAGCCATCTTGAGACTCCAATGGGAGGCAAGTGTACAAATTCCCCCTTTGCCACCGAACCCACAAAGCCACATGCCCACAAGATGAGAAGCACAATTACACAAGTGCCCTTACAACATCCTGTATAGATGTCAGAAACAAGGAAATAAAAGAATGCACAGCATTTTGACAACATGTGCAAAAGGCAGTAATTCCAAGTGAACCAGGTCTTACCACCCTGTTAAAGGTTAAAGAGCCCAGGGAGGCAGTGACCGTAGCCACAGAGGAGCACGTGCCTGGACCCTCCACCAGCTTGATTCACTCTTGAGGCCACTGCTTCTCTGTCACTATTTTCTCACCCTGTTTATGCCTCACCCAGCTCTCCCCAAAGCACTCACATTGGACCTCAGCTGCATCTAAAGGACCCCTCAAGACACAGCCACTTCCAGGCAGGGGCCCCAGTCTGGACTGTGCACTTGGCCCTTCCCAGGCCCTGCCCCAAGCACCAACCTCTCTGGCTGGGGGACTGCGTAATGAGCTGCACCACCTTCCGCAGGCAGAGCAGCTTCTGCTGGGGTGAGGTGCACTTGTTCAGCTGAGCCAGCTCTCTCTTTGCACGAGGGATGTTGAAGCTGTGAAATAATTTGGAAACGTGACAACTTCAGACCATGGAGGAAGCACCCTTCTTCATTCTAATAATATGCCTCAGGTTCTATTTTTCTTACATCAGACCACAAGCAATGAAAACAAAGACAGAGGTAATTTGGCTCAAGCCAGTGGCAAAAGAGAATGGATTTAAATCCCATTCAGACTGCCAGGTAACAAAGTTGCACCAGAAATTTGGCACTAAATAAAAATCCTGAGCCCTAGAGGAAATTAGCCCAAGGGGTTGGGACAGTAAACATCAACACTAGCCTTTTTTGCAGCCCTGTGTGTTTCTATGGCAGGGTTCCCTCAGACAGGCAGATGAGGAGAGACACCACATGGGCAGAGCCCACCTCAAGACCAGGTGGACAAAACTGCATCCACTTTAGCTGCTCATCAGCTGCTTTGCTGGCTGCAGAAGGGGGACAGCTACAAAACAGCATCTAGTCAACTTCAGCCCTTTTCCTATGGTCACAAGTAACTATAACACTCAGAGGGAACCACGTCAAGGCGGCAGCCATCACTGCCACTGAGAGAGAGGCCCAGCTGTGAGAGAAGATGAGGCCCCAGCCTCTGAGGACACAGAGCCGCTGCGGCAGCACAAACTCTCACCTGAACTCAGGTTTCACGCCAATGTCTTTCTGCTGGAGATCTTGAAGGCTTCTTGTGATTTTGTTAAAGGCGGCATCCTAATAACAGATTTTAATGAGGCTTCAAAAGTCTTGAAAAGCACATTGTAAGGCTTCTATCCTGGACGAGGGCAGGGACTGTGGACCTACCTCGCCTGCCTCCATGGTCCCCACATATTTAAAGATGAGATCATAAATATGGTGGTGGACATACATCTGTGAAATGAAGGGTGCCATTCAGGAAGCGTATCCAGCAGGAGGTGGGAGGAGAGCCACAGGATGCTGCCGTCCCCCTCTCCTTACCTCTACTGCCTGCTTCATCTGGGTCATCTGGGCCTCCTGCTTCGCAAGCACTTTCTAGAGGATCGGAGGAGGGCGGCTAAAGAGCCTGGACTCTCAGGCCAGCAACCCCCAAACCCTTTGGGAAGCCCCACTGCTTACCAGGTGAGAGTCCCTCAGAAGCTGCTGGAGGCATTTGGTGTAGAGGGCATTCACCGAGTCCTGTGTGACACAGAGCAGACAGAGGTCCTGCTTACAACCACAGGCCAGAGACACCTGGGCCTGAATGTGAGACCTGTCCCAGCCCCAGGAAAACATGCCACAAAATGTATTTTCTGGACGACAACAAGCTTTAAGGGGTAACGCAAGCTTTATCAAATAATTTTCATGATTGTTTTTTCAACTTTTTAAAAGGTGATTATGCATTAAAAGTAGGGAAAAAATTGCCCATGGGGCTAACAGAAGTGATAATAGTCTTTATGTTTTAAACTTCTCCAGGATATTCAAGTTTTCTATAGTGGCCTATATCACTTTTATAAGTTAGAGAGAAATATTTAAACCAAGCTTCTTATGGGGGAGATAACACCTAGTAAAGCTGGAGAATAAACTGAGAGGGGCTGGGGCTCTGAACTTTGGCCTGACAGACACAGCAAGACATGACACTGACTATGTGGTGACGGAAGCTCTTTCTTTCACACTCTCGGAAGGTTCGGTGGAAAGAGGCGATGCTCCTGTCAAATTTCTCAGAGTGTCGTCCCAAAAATTCTCTTACATCTTCGATGGTTTTCAGGGAAAAGGGATCTGAGGGAGCTGAAGGCTCTTCTGAAAAAGAGACAGAGGGGCAGGCTGGTGGAAGCCTTTGCAGCCTCCTGAGAGGAGAAATGTTGCATCCTTGTCCTGCTCTCATAGGATCTAGGGCTCCATCTTGTGAGGGAGGATGACAGGGAGTGATGAGAAATTGAAGGCCCTTTATTTCAAGATACTTTCCCAAAACAACCTAGTTATATAGGACAGCCTGGGATCCAAAGAGCATGGTCTTCTCAAGGCCTTTCCTTGGGACAAAATCCACACTATCTGGGGTTTCGTGAGGTGAGTCATGGACCTCAGGTGAAGAAGCTCTTGTTTCCTGACAGAGTTTCACTAAGAATTCACTTGACATTATGTTATCTTGATTTCCTGGGGCAAGGGAAGAATTATTATTCTTTAAAAAATAGTGAGATCTTAAAGAAGCATGACGGCCAGGCTGGCGAAGAATATAACAGCCCCACAGACAAAGCCAGAGCTACTCCTGTGCACAGCTGAGGCATGACACTCACATCACATACTTATCACAGGTCTCAGGGTCCATGTGAACAGTACCTCCTGGAGCACCACACACATCAGCCCCAATCCACACCCCTGCACTGGAGATGACGCTGATTAAGATCTGGGGGAATTCTAATCAACAGTGACATAGGTTTCTAATGGGCTCCTCACTGTTTCCTATGACCTTTCACTTTTTAACAGCTACATCAGGAAAAAGTTCCACGTACACATTCCTCCAAATCAGGAGAAAAGGATTTTTCTCCTCAAATACCTGAACTCTCTCTCTTTTCCAAGGGATGGGCTATACACAGGATGCTGAAACTTTCTTCTTTCTCATTGTAGAATGTTTCTTCAAAGAGGATGGGCACTGAGAGAAGACAGGAAAAACCAGCTCCTAATTTAATCCTGTTTCCTTGTATAGACACATCCTGGAATGAGAAAGCCGTCACTGTACGAGCAGCTAGTGGCAGCCACTGACCTCCCTCTGGGCCTGTCCCCCAGGAGGGCATTCAACCAGACCTTACTGCCTCACTCAAGGTGCATTTGCCAGGGCACTTAAACTAGAAGGGGAGAACAGCTGTAGTAAGCAGCTCCTCCACAGGAAAACAGCTTCCTGCCTCTGCAGCGCTCTTGGTACCACTGCCTCTGCTACCGCCACTCAGCAGCTGAGTCCCAGGGCCAGCCCCAGAAGGAATGTGGTGTGGCGTGGCTTCCCTGCCCATGTGCAGGTTGGGCAAGGAAGCCAGCCCTGACTGTGAGTGGAACTTCCCCCTCTCGGAACCTACCTGCTTCCATTAAAGACATTAAAAAACAAAACAAAAGCTATGTTCCAAATGACCACCATCAGTGAGATCAACGTGCCTCCTGACAGGATAGACTCAGAGAGATAAAAGAGCCCTGCCATGCCATTCCTACCCAAAGCGCCTGCCCATGATCTAATCATGAGGAAACAGCAGACAAACCCACCCTGAGGGAGTGTGCAGAACAAAACAAAAATGTCAGTGTCATGAGATGCGCAGAGAGGCTGAGGAACTGTTTCTAATGAAAGTAAAAAGATGTTAACAGCTAAATGCATTACTTGGTCCTGGATGTGAAGAAGAAATGTCTGTCTTTTTGGTATAAGGGGTATTATAATTAGCACAGCGTGCATAGGGAGTTGGAGAACATCCGCTCAACGTGCAGCTCCCTGAGTGTGGCTGCTGCACAGGAGTTAGGTAGGAGAATGCTGTTCTTGCGAAACACATGGAGCTGTGTTGAGTGGGCTCTATCTACAACTTACTCTGGCAAGATTCAGAAAAGTAAGTCAAGTGTGGCAAAATCCAGTCAGCCAGTCTAGAGAGAGGGTGTATTAGAGTTCTCCATAACTTCCTCAACCGTTTGTGGGTTCAAACTTATTTCAAAAAAAAATGGCTTAAAAAGAAAAATTCATCCCTCATGTCTACTTTTTGGCTGAGAAACCAAAGTGCTTTCCACAACACTGAGAAGAAAGCGCTTGCTCAGACATATATCTCACTGAAGAGGGCGCCCAGGAGAACACTGGCCCTCCCCACCTTCCAGAGCCACTCAGGGTCCCCGGTGGGCACCATTCCCACCCATCCTTCTACTGGCCCTCCCACTGGGTACTGAATGTGAGTCAGCACAGTCATTTAACTCAGTAGAGACACAAGGCCAAGAAACAGGCCTCTCTTCCCTCCCCCAGCCCCCAGCACAAACCTAGTGCCCCAAGAAACTACCTTTCCATTTAAGGTCTGAAAATGTCCTTCCACAGGTATCAAAATGTAGGACTCGAACTGACACGTAGACTGAACACTGCTGGACAGGCTTCCTTTGCAGGGCACTAAGACCTGGAAAAAACAATGGAGGGGAGCTCTGGAGGAGGTGGCACAAAAATATGGCTTCAGCACCAAGAAGGTATGTAAGCCACTGGGCTGGAACCACAGCAGGCCTGCAGGCAGACTGGCCAAAGGGCCCGCTGTTGCTGCTAGCTGAGTTCCTCTGTTGAGGTGGTGATGAAAGCAGACATCAGGGCTCCCAGGCGAGAGGGGACAAAGAGGCGCAGGTCAGTTCCTAGCTCCAGATTCAGAGACACTGGGCTCCTTCCCATCCTCGCTGAGTCCCTCCCCACAACCGATCCCAGGGACCCTCTGCTGCCACCAGTCCAACTCCAAAGCAGAGCGGGATGGGGGTGGGAGGTGGAGGGGACAGAGGGAAATGAAAAAGGTCGCGTGATCCCACCACCTGAAAGGTAATGCTTCACGCTGGAGACAGCTGCCATGACGGTTTGCACAGGTAAATTCAAGGCCACGGTCACAGCCACGGCAACGGCGATGGCAACAGTTCTCCATCAGAGGCTATCTCAGATATCTCAGGGGACCACCCTCTCCCTCTGGGACAGCATCAATTGGAAATATGCATAACAGACCCTGGGCTGAGCATGGTGGCGCACATGTATAATCTGAGGCCAGTCCGGGATACAGAGTAAACTCAAGGCTAGCCTGAACTACACAGGGAGACCCTGTTCAAAAAAACCCATAAAAAAACCAGACCACAGCCACCACACTGGCAAGATGTCACCTCAGCAGCACAGTGCAGCAGTAGGAAGGGGCTTTCTTCCATGGCCAGACCTGGGATTAGCTGACGAGCTTAAGTTTGAACAGAAATCTCTGATGCAAGTGTTCCAAAAAGGAAGACGGTCAAGGCAGAAAAGCCCCACAGAACCTGAGTACTACGGCAGTCTAACAGAGAAACCAAGAGGCAGAAAGCCTGGGTACTCCTGGGCCTATGCCTTCCAGCCAGGCCCCTGAACACACGCCCAGTCCTCCCTCAGTGTCTGCATGTGGAGAACGGGGTTGGGAGCATGTCAGGAGTGTGAAGCCAGCTCCCGGGACAAGCACAGCCCTGGGACCACCATCTAACCTGACCCTCAGGCAGGCACTGCCCTTGTTGTAATCCAAGCTCTTAAAGCAGTACACACGTCCTGAGGGTTTAACTGGTGGTCTGTGGAGCACTAAGGAATAAAAGTCACCAGCCATCAGTCCTGGCTGAGTTCACCCACACATTAGACGGCCTTCGTTTAAGGAGCTTGGGCAGAGAAATAAACCACCCTCGGACCACTTCCAAAATAGACTTACTGACCCAAATATTAGAAATTACTAAGCTTCAAGAGATGGTATAGAAAAAGATACAGGAAAAAAAAAAAAAAAAAAAACCTCCAGGGATCAGGCCTTCCACCAAAACAATCATGAACTTGCACATTAAGGCCTACAATAGTAAACAGAAACTCACACAAGGACAGAATATTTAAAGCTGTTAGAAAAAAAGAAATCACCCATAAAGGAAAGCCCATCAGAATCACAGCATACTGCTCCACACAAATTCTCAAATCAAGGAGAGCTCAGGAGTGAAGTATTTCAGGCCCTAAAAGAAAACCTCCAACCCAGACTGATGAATCAAAAAAAAAAACTAGCTGTCAAAACTGATGGAGAAATAAGATACCTCCATGACAATAAAAACCCGAGGAAATCCATAAACATCAAACCTGCACTCTAAAAGGTTCTGAAAGACATTCTAGAAAGAGATAACAAGGACTACAACTCCATGTGTCTACCAGGCAAGGCAAGCAATTAACAAAAGGAGATAAAAAGGAAACCAGGGCTGGGGAGATAGCTCAGTAGAATAAGTGCCTGCCTGGCAAGTGCAAGGTCCTTAGTTCAATCCCCAGTACCGCAAAAAAAAAAAAAAAAAAAAAAGGAAACCAACAACAGGAAAGTAGTATGACAAGAGGAAGTCAGTATGTCAGTTATATCCCTCAGTGTTAGTGGTCCAATGAAAATGGACTTGCTGGACATGATGAAAAATGCTGTAATCCCAGCACCAGTCTGAAGTAGAGGCAGGAAGATTGCCACGAGTTCAAGGCCAGCCTGAGTTATAAGATCCTATTTCAAAAAAACAAACAGAAGAAGAGAAGGAGAAAGAAGAAGAAGAGTAGAAAAAGAGGAAGAGCCAAGACAAGAGGAAAATGGAGGAAAAGCAGCAGCAGCAGCAGCAGCGCTGGCAGAACGGATCAAGAAGCAAGATCCAATCATGTGCTACATCCAAGAAACATTTAATTCATTAAGCTCAGATAAAAACTTAGACTCAATGATTTTTGGAACTAGGCTCTGACTTTATACTTTGAGCAGGCCAGCAAGTGCCGGGTGAAGCAAGGTTGCTGATAACTGCCTGTTCCTCAGCCCCTGCCCTGGCCTTGGAGACGGCAGCCACATTCCAGGAGGGGCAGGCTAGAACCAGGACAGGTAGTTAAGGACCTTGCCCTTCAAAACATTCCAAAAGGTGGAAACAAAACAATACAAATTATTATCCAGATACCTACAACCAAGCTTTAACCACTATAAATGGCTTGCCATAGTCTACACTCTTTAAAGGTAAGAAGAGAGGTTGTTAGCAATATCATCTAAACAGGCTTCTGTAATTCTGGGCTGAGGTTCCCATTTCTGGAATGTCACTATATGCTAAGCACCATACTGTATGGTCGGTCTATACACTATAACTTCAATAACTGCCTAGTTTCTGTGTTAGCCCCATTTTACAGACTAGAAAATGGAGGATCATGAGTGAACATTTGTCCAGGGTCACACAGCCAGGAAGTCATGGAGCATGATTCAAATTCCAGCTGTTGGGCTGGCAAGATAGCTCAGTGGTCTAAAGGGCCTGCTTACGCAAGCTTAGGCAGGCGTAGGGGACCACGGTTCAATCCCCAGCACATGCTATGCTAGCCCTGCCCTGATAGTGGGCTGAGCCTGCAAAAAAACAACAAAAAAAAAGATTGTGGTCTCAAATTCCAGCTGCCTCCTTCACCCCTACCCTATCTGCTACTCACTTGAGGCAAGTGGAAGTAAAACCTGGTACACCACCCTCCATTGGAGCCTTCAGGAATACTGTCCTCTGGCAGGGGACACTTTTTTTTTTTTTTTTCAATTTTTAAAGAAAGGGTCTTGCTGAATGGCCCAGGCTGGGCTTGAACATATGGTCCACCTGCCTCAGCCTCCTACCTGGTAGGATTAGAGGCATGCGCCCACCACACCTGGCTAACTAGGTGGAGGGTCACATCAATCCCTGACAACAAAATAGGAAGCACTTGCTGACAGAGAAGACAACTTGATCTGTGAGGTAGCCTTGCCCTCTCCTCAAAACTGGGCGGGGAAGGGCTGGGGAGATGGCTCAGTGGAATAAGTATTTCTCTGGCAAGGGCAAGGGTCTGAGTTCAATCCCCCGTTCTGCCAAAAAAAAAAAAGAACCAAGAGGGAATTTCAGTGGAAAATATAGTAACTAAAGTACAATGGAAATGACAAAGGATTGACCTTATAGTGAATGGGTATACAATGTTTAAAAATCAAAACTGGGCTGGGTGTGGTGGCACATGCCTGTAATCGCAGCACATGGAGGGGGGGCTGGAGACCAGCCTGGGCTACAAAGTAAGCTCAAGGCCAGCCTGAACTGTATAGCAAGACCCTGTCTCAAACACACAGAAACACACACACACACACACACACACACACACAACTAAGTCAGATCAGGAACTGGATTTAACTACCAATTTCAGGAACATGGGGCCAGACTACAACTGCAGAAGTAGAATGACCTGGGTTTTCCTTAAGTGAACTGAAAGAAAAGAAAAGAAAAAGAAGGAGAAGCTATACGTTGAAGAAAAAAAAAAAAAAAAAAAGGTCGGGGATACAGCTCAGTGGCATAAGTGCCTGCCTGGCAACCACAAGATCCCAAGTTTGATCCCTGGTATCACCAAAAAAAAAAAAAAAACCATAGTTGGGCACAGTGGCTCATACCTGTAATCTCAGCACTCTACAAGGTTGAGGCAGGAGGATCAAAAGTGCCTGCTGGAGAAGTCAGTAACTTAGCAAGACCTTCTCTTAAAACAAAACAGAAGAAAGTGTTGGGGGAAGCCAGGGATATAGCTCAGCAGCACATCTGCCTGGCAAGTGCAAGATCCTTAGTTCAATTCCTGGTACCCAAAATAATAAAAAAAAAAAAATTTTTTTAAAGGGTTGGGGATGTTGAGTTCAATCCTTGGTACCACCTAAATAAATAAATAAACCGTATCTACTGCTTAACAAGTCTTTAAAGCATATCAAAACTGATCAAATTTTACAGCACATGTAGCTTAGTGAATTTCTTTTTTTTTTTTTTTTTTTTTTTTTTAACCGGGGATTGAACTCAGGCTCTTGCGCCTGCCAGGGAAGCGCTTATTCCACTGAGCCGTCTCCTCGGGCCCGTGAATTTCATTTTAGCACAAGAAAATGGTGACAAAAGAGACTTAAAACTCCTTTATAGTTCTTCAGTTGTAGATCCCTTTTGGGTCTTCATTTGAACAAGCCAAATGTAGAGCAAAACTCAGCTAGATAATTCAGGAAATTTGAAATGACCAGCTCTTCGATAATACTAAAGAATACTGAGAAACTTCAGCTAAGGTTGTGACATTATGGTTATATTTTTATAAGAGGCCTTATCGTTTAAAAATACAACCCTAAACATATTTGCAGATGAACCCATACATCTATCTTACATAATTTTCTGGGATTTTCTTCAAAATGACCCAGGGGCTGATGCTGGATAGAGATAAAACCAAATGGACTGCTGTAACCCTTGTGTTGAAGTGGAATGAAGGGTATGTGGAGCTCACTGCATTGCTTTGTCTACTTTAATGTTTAAAATCAAACATGGGGGCCGGGGAGATGGCTCAGTGGAATAAGTATTTCTCTGGCAAGGGCAAGGGTCTGAGTTCAATCCCCCGTTCTGCCAAAAAAAAAAAAGAACCAAGAGGGAATTTCAGTGGAAAATATAGTAACTAAAGTACAATGGAAATGACAAAGGATTGACCTTATAGTGAATGGGT